AAATTAAATAAATAAAAAAACAGAAACATCGCCACATTTAAAACCAAAAAAAAAAAAAAAATTAAAAAGTAATTAATAAATAAAAAACTCCAGTAAATAAAATAAATCCATATCCAGATAAAAAAAGAAATAATAAAGAAAATTGTCCTTCCGTACGCTTCAAAAATCCACAATAACTAAGCCAAACAAACAAGCAAACAAAACACGTACAGAAACAACGCAGGCCACTCGCAGCTAAACCGTCGCTCAATAAAAAAAAACACACGCACACACACACAAAAGAAAAAAAAAAAAGTAGAAGGCCAAAAAACATACGCGTAAGCCATAGAAAAAGAATACATTCGCTCTATTTTATTTTTCATTTTTGATGTCTACTCATCCCTACACCCCTTTATTCTTCCTCTCCTGGTAGGTCTAGACGTTCTTCCATGTATTCTTTCCTTATTTTTTAAGGGCGGCTGGACCCACTTTTGCCTTCGCATTCATCACTGCCTGGCGTGTTGCTTGCGAGGCCGGTACCAGCGGTATTGTCTGCTTGTAACTTGTTTCGTCTCCCTCCTTGTCGCCCGTCTCTATAATGTCCTTTTGGATAGCATCAATCTCTGCCTGCATGTCGCGCCTGTGCTCCTCATCCACTGTCTCATCATCCATGATATCCGGGGAAAGCGGTTTTTGCCCTTCTTTCGCGGCATCCTTTTTATTTTGGGAATCAACGCAGTATTTGGCACGAAATATATCAAATATCTTCAGACGTTTCTTCACAACAGTCTGGTTTGGCAAAGAGGCGCTCTTCCAGCCCTGCTCAGCCTGCTCCTCACTCATCTCCTGACTCAACTCTCCTTTCACCGCATTTTGTTTACGTTCTTCCTCTGCCTTTTCTCCTTCTTGCTTCTGTGGTTGCCATTTCTTTTTCTGCGGCACTTTTGGGGTCAACGGGGAATTGACACCCCCTGGCACGGGCGGCGTGTAGCCGTGAAGCGTAAAAAACGGATGCCGCAGCGCCTGTATCGCCGTTAACCGCTTCGTGCTGTCCTGCTCGAGCATCCGGACAATCAAATCCTTCGCCTCCTCGCTGACACCTTCCCAGCCTTGCTTAGGGTCAAACAACACCCCGCGATTAATGCGCCGCAGGAGATGGCGTCTTTCTTCACTTGTCGTCACTTGCCCGTGAAACGGTGGGCGACCAGAGAGCATGACAAAGAGTACAATCCCAGCAGACCACACGTCGACACTCTTCACTAATTTTTGTGTGGTGCAGAGTGGTTTCGTGCCTTGAGCCTCAATCCCACGTATCACTTCTGGCGCAATGTAGAAAGATGTGCCGCACGGTGTTGACTGCACATCCCACTCTTGTACCAGTTTGGCGAGACCAAAGTCCGCAAGTTTCACCTCAATATTCAGCGACTTTTCCCAATCCTCCTCTGTAAAGTCACCACTTTTCTTTTTCAAAGAACCCTCGTTACCGATTGGATTCACAATATTAAGCAGAATATTCTCCGGCTTAATATCGCGGTGTACAATACATTGTCCATGCAGATAATCAATACCGCACAAGATTTGATACATGATTTGACGTGCCACCCCTTCTGGTATAAAATGATTACGTACAATTAATTCAAAAAGGTCCCCTCCCATTAAATCCAATGAAAAATAAATATGATGTGGGGTAGTGATGGACTCATGCAATTGGATAATATTTGGATGTGAAGTACGTCGTAAAATCTCTTGTTCATGTATCACCATTTCCGATAACTTTCCTCTCAACATCATTTTCTTAATAACTTTAAGAGCCCGCATGGTATTTGTCGGGCGATGTCGTACGGCGACCACCTGCGAAAACCCACCTTTCCCTAATAACGTGGCATTTTCAACATCATATAAAACACGGATGTCAAAAGACTCCACAACAGGTGTGGCTGGAACATGCATAGGTTTGTGTGCTGACAAC